CTTAGATGTTCTTATGTACTTATCTTAAGAAGTACTAAAAAATAATAAGAAGAATAAAGAATAATAAATAATTTAGTATATTGAGTACAAAATTAGTGTGTGAAAATAGAGCACTTTAAGTGCATTATTGGAAGTGCACTTTTTTTGGCATGGGTCATGTTGTTCCAAACTCCCTTTTGTTAATCTTCAAAACAAATGGAGAGATGTCTGTCCCTCCACTGAAAGTCCATTCTACCAAATGGATGATTTGGAACAACATGAGGGTGAGTTTTTGAATTTGTTTGAATTTTTGTGTGAACTAATCCTTTAAGAACAAAATAAAGTTGTGTTATTCAATAAAAAATGGCACTCCAAGGTATTCAAAGTAGGATTTAAATTTTAAAAAGCCTTAATTGAATCATGGCTTACAGAGATACAAAATACCACAAACAGACTAAAAAGCCAGACTTGTCAAAGTTGTTATTGTTTTAGGATTAAATGGCATGAAGGGAAAGCAGTTTTACAGTACTATCAAGAAATGTTAGTGTTTTGCTGCTTAGCAGCACTACTGTTCACTTACAAGTGATAAATGTACAGTTCTACCCACTGGAAAACCCAATGAACTTCTAGTCTAGCTGCTATTAAATACTTCAGAACTTCGAAAAAAGTTTTCTTGATTTAAGTAGCGGCCTACGCAGAACATTTCAGCAATTATTTGTCATTGCCTCTTGCCTCAACTGGACCATTAGTTAAAGGATAATAATGGCATTAGTTTTGGCCTGATGGTGGTTCTGTGTAGTGTTCAGTGTTGGAGTGGTGAACGCCAGAGCGCTATGATTTCATGCAAAGGTCAAACTCGACTAAATGCTAATTAGCATGAGTCATCACATCCATTCATAGACCTGAACACATGCTACGTATGTAAACGCGGCAGGTCGCACTTCCACATTCATAACCGTCAACAGCCTCAAATTACCAGCACGGATTTATTCTTGAACTGTCAGGCATAAGAAAAGGACTCCAAACTAATTTGTCTCAGCCAAATGATAATCTTGTAACACAGAGACATGCACACTCTCCCACACGTACACACAGAATACATCTCAATGCATATCTGTATCACATGCTGTACACCGTTTCACAGAGTGCTTGGAGTTCAAGAATACAGCTGTTCGCTTGGATTCAACATATCTAGTGTTTACCAAACCAGTATCAAGCAGGCTGGCAAACAGCCGTCTTCACTAGGACAGTTTCAACCTCCATTGGAAGATTTAGGTCACTGGGCTAATATTTGCATAATAAACAGAAGAGCATGCGGAAGAGAATGGTGAATGAGAGGGTGTTGAAGGAAAAAAAACAGCTGATGCTTCAGATATGAAGACATGATGCAATAGCAAACAGTTTGATTGTAATGATATGTTGACCTCAGAAATAAGGTATCATTCTGAAACACTTTGAGGAGATTTTTCTCTTGTAAACATGTTTATATGACATTTTCAGGTTGTTCCACAGAAGCAGAATTGAGTTGTTTGTGCTATAATAGACTTTAGTCAGAGTAGCCATTTTAAATTGATAGTTTAAAGCAGTCCATTAAATGTTGTGACGTTGTGTATGTGGGATGTTCAGCTGTTGAAACATGGAAAATACACTACCATTCAAAAGATTGGGAGCAGTACATTTTTTTAAGAAAAATAAAGAAATTAATACTAAAATTGTATACAAAAATGACAGTAAAGACATTTATAATGTTGCAAAGATCAAATAAATGCTGTTCTTTTAAACTTCCTATTCTTAAAATAATCCTGATTTTTTTTTTTTTAATCACCATTTCCTCAAAAATATTACTGTTTTCAACATTGATAATGATAATGAATGTTTCTTGAGCACCAAATCAGCATATTAGAGTGATTTATGAAGGATCATGTTACACTGAAGACTGGAGTAATGATGCTCAAAATTCAGCTTTGCAACACATACATAAATTACATTTTAAAATATATTCAGATAGAAAACAGATATTTTAAATTGTAATACTATTTCAATTTATTGTAGTTTTTGCTGTATTGTTTTTTATCAAATAAATGCAGCCTCGGTGAGCATATAAAAAAAAGCACATTAAATATCTTACTGACCCAAATAGTAATGCATGTCTTTCCACAAATTTACAGTTAATAAAAGACTCTGGAAAACAGATTATGAAAACTGTTATGTGATTGAATGACCTACACTGTTGAGTAAATTATGTAAAAATAAAGTAGAAATTCAGTTTAGAAAATTATAACCAATTAGGTTAAATGCAATTAGGTGTCACCAATAAATACCCCAAAACCCAAAACAACAGACTCATGCACTTATTTGTTAAAGATATATTACATAATAGTATTAAGTAAATATTTTTATTCTGTCTTGTCATTCCTTGTTTTTTTCCCTCTTCATTTCTCGTTTCCTGTCATTCACAGTCAGTATTATCGCACCTCCAAAGTTAGAACGTGTCATAAGAAAACATAAAAGAATGGAGAAAAAGATATGAGAATACGGTCGCTTTGTGCAGGAAATTGTCAGGTGCAATCTCTCCACTCGTTTTTTAATGTCACAATAACATTTCCCCACACACCACCTCAGCACGTCTCTGTCACCTGGCAATAAGCAGGTCTGTTTATGACATCAGACTCTGCTGATTTGGCGCTACTGTGGCTGTCAATCATACTGCTTCATACTTCTATTAGAAGTACTTGCTAAAACAAACAATCACTATTACTGCACCTCATGCTTAGTGTTAAACAATGTATTAAACTTAACTCATCAACTAAGTGTGCAACATACATGATTCATGCCGCAAATCCTGCAGTTTGTTGAAGAGAGGTGTGTTATTACATTTTTAATGTAATAGAATTTGACATTTTTGCCAGGTTGGTGGTAAAACATGCAAAAAATCCCATGGACATACATTAGAGAAGGGACCCATGTCATTTCTAGAGATCAGAATATCATAGAGATGTGAGGGTAGGCATTGAAATGTCCACGCAATCAACCAGAGTAATCACCTAGTCAAAATTACACACATAAAGTACAAGTAAATTTTCAATATTAAGCATTAATATCTTTAAATTAGCTGTGAATGGTTTCAGATTCTGCCCACAACCAAGAATTCAAATCTAAATAAAAGATTCATCAGACTGTGGCAACAGTAATGCACATTACAACAGAACGAATATGCGAGTAAGTCTGAAAGTGAAACCTCACAACATCCTCTTATTTAGGGGGGAGCAGGCTGACAGGAAGGCTTATATTTATAATTAGATATACATTTGTCTGAGTCTTTTTTTAATGCACTACCATTACACTGGTGGAGACTCACGCTGGGGGTAAGCATGTCTAAAAGCATTTTCACACTGACACACACACACACACACACACACACACACACACACACACACACACTTCTGCCTCCACACGCTCTTGTTCTTCTCAATTTCGTCAAAACAATTTGTTGTACTTTTCCACAAAGTATGATTCACCCTCTGATGCATGCTCTTGTTCTTTTCAATTTCTTCAAAACATTTAGTACTTTTCCATAAAGCATGATTCACCCACTGACGTCTCAAAACACTATGCCGTTTCCTTGAACGTTTTGACGAAATGAAAGTGAGTAACTCTGTTAAAATGGAACTTTTTCATCAGAAACGCAAACCACCTTCTGAGTTTTGAGGCTTTTTAGTCATCTATATGCTAGTGCAGAGACCCCCAAACTTGTTTTTCAGCTGAACCCCTTTGGCATAAATATTTCATTGCAGTACCCCTCAGATTTTAAGTTAGTATTTCAAAACTTTAACAACACATTCACATGTTCACAATTCTCTGATGTCAGGCACTGGTTACATGACATACTGTATGCAGGTAAACAAATAGAAAAAATCTTTAGTAAGCCTAAATGCTTAAATTTGAGAAATGATTTATTGTTTTAATTTGACATTTGTATGATGTAATTAATTAAATAATAGCTTATCAACTCCAAATCAAATCAACTCAACTCAACTTAAATCTAGCAGTTCCCTCATGAAATACCATTTTGGGAAACACTGAGCTAGAATATTCCTATTGACAGAATGGCAAATGCACAGACTGAAAATATTCATGACTCATCCTGCACTTAGGGGCGTATCCAAATTTGTGTCCAATCAGATTCTTTCTATAATGATAATGCCCCTCTTGACTAGCAACATCATCTCGCATACACAAAACAGTACTTTTTTTTTTTTGCGATAGTTACCAACTCACTGTTTTAAAAACAAATATGTCAATGCAAAGAGTATCGCTGATAAATAACCTTAATTTATGTTGCCATCTGCTTATTTACAGTACTTAAAAGCAAGTCAATATACAGAATGATTGTTTGCAAACGCAATGGTCCATAGAACATAGTCCAATGTAGTCAAAACATAGTCCAATCATTTTTCTTCAACCTACAACTTTATTTTTTTACAGTCTACTAGAAGAAAACACTTTGGTTATCTCAATATCCAGTAGTTTGCTTGGATTAAACAAGCATTTTACTGTACCTCTGAATACATCTTCCCTTAACATCAGTCCTGTGCTAGTCTACACGGCTGGATGTCTTCGTGTATGCATTAGTGTATGAATCGTGTGACAACTACAAACAACAGCTATCCTGGCCACTTAGATATGCCTCATTTCACCTTCCCCATCGCCACCGCGACTCATCGCCTTCTCGGAGGGGCCACGTCCATGTCACCCACCAACACAAACACACACACACCTGCTGTTGCAGCCTGAAGGAGAAGGGTTAAATCCCCCCACCCTTATACACACAAACAAACACAACGCTCGTGTAAACGGTCCGCTCGCATACTCGCACACTCCCACCCCCCCAACCCCAGTCCTACACCAGCAGTCAGTTGTTAGTTAGGGGGAGGGGGTGTGAAGGGGAGAGGCTAGCGGAGGTCTTTGTGAGAGCGAGAAAGAGAGAGAGGAACAGAGCGTTCTATTTCTCATAGATGAGCAGCTGCTAGGCAGGACTGTCTTGAAAGCAGAGAGACAGTGAGAGAGACCATTTGGTGCCTGAATGTGAGCGAGTGAGCGAGCGAGGGAGAGAGAGACGCACACACTCAGCGTGAGCTTGTGGTTTAAGCAGACACTAGCCGTGCATTTAGGGAAACCCACAGTCTCAGCTCCCTGGGATAAAGGAGTGTTGTTTCTGGCCCTGCTCTTTTCCCTCTTTTTATTCTGTTTTGTTTTATTCCCTCCATCCTTTCTCTTCTTCCTTTTGCCTGCGGAAAGAGCTGGACCTCTGTTACCTCCCTGAAACACGCCGAGCCGGTAAGAGGGCACGCTAACTATTTCTGTTTCCTGCTTTTTTTGTGTGTCAGTCTTGTTGTATCTCATTTCTGCTTCATTCATTCTAATTGCTTGGGTAGAGAGAGAGGCTAGCGCGATACCTAGGTGATGCTGTACCGGCATCCGTCGCAGCCGGCTGGGTGCGGAAGAAGAAAAAGCGAGGGATTGGAGGAGAGAGGGAAAGGGGTGTTCTACTTTCTCAACCCCACGATCGGTCGACTGGGGCTCGTCCTCTTTCACTGCAGCACATGGCAGCCTATACACACACACACTGACACACAAACACACAACACTCCAGTTGCATTACATGTCCTGTAAAACTAACCGTCTGCTTTTATAAAGCTAATTAACGCACCTATTAGCCTAATCAATACACATCCTCTCACATTAACTGAGGCCAGTGGTGCATAAGGAGGCGTTATGGGCAAATAGTCAGGGGCGCTTTTATAGACGCACTGTACAAGCGTTTTCTTTCTCTTTAAGCGATGTGATAGCTTAATCTTCATAGAAATTACATTTTATTCCCAGTTGGCATTTGCACAGGCATTTCGGTGCAAACCAGAAACCACACAGGGCTAATTAGGCTGCATGTGGTTGTATGTGTGCATGCTTGTGCATTGTTGTAGATAAAAACATGTAGCATGTGAAGGGCTGAGAGAAATGAATGAAACCATGAATGGAGAGACGAACCACTCCTTTTTTCGATCCTCGCTCGCTCTCGTGTACATGGGAGAGGAAATTCACACCTGAGGGGGGAAGAGAGAGGTGGATGTATGAATGAAGCCCTAAAATATGAAATCTGGTCATACATGTCAGGATATGAATGCTTTTGGTTGCCAGACCCCTGACATGTCGGGAAAAAAATCAGGTTAGGTGGCAACAAAATCTGTCATTTACTGGTAATGAATTTGCGAGGGTGGTGAGCTTTTGTTTTTAGTCATTATATAAAATCATTGTTCCTTGCACAAGTACAAAAGACTAATACTCGTGTATTAAAAAGAACTTGAATCACACCAAATTTGACGTGTAACCTATACAATTAATGCAAATAAATGCAGCTGACAGCAAATATATGAATATATATATTTTATTACTACTAGAAATGATCGAAAATGCTTTTTAAACAAAAAAGTTTTGAATTTGACCATCAAATTATTATATACCTCATTAGTTGGTGTCAGCACCATATACACATCAGTTTATCACAAATATATGCTTTACCTTTATATATAATCAATATGAGGCTGAAAATTTATGTATTTGTCTGTTGCTAGGACACTCCCTTTGAACATTTTATACGAGGCCTCTGATTGGCTGCAGCCAATGATGCAAGTTTCTCACCCCAAATCTTTCCCCTTCGCCCATGGAAACATGCCTGTCTGCATTTCTTCCTTTCCATCTCTCTACCTCCGTGTCAGAGACCATCTAAAAGTCGTCTCCATCATGCATCTCTCTATCTCTTCTTTGTTACAATCAGGGTAGATGGATAGCGCCGACCGGTTTCTCTTTGTTGTCTTCCTATTTCAGATCAGTTGTATAAAAAAATCTACTGGCAGTAAGAAAGAAAAATCATTAAAGCTTAATACAGTAGCTGTTCATTCTCAGTGGTCTGCTCTCTGCTGATTTGTGATTTCTGGTCCTGTGCTGGTGGCAGTGACTCTGACCCCCACCTTCCACATGAGCATTATGTATGTGCTGTACTGTAAGTGGGTCAGGGTAGAGAGTGTGGCATGTCATGTGTGTCTCAGGGAAGTGGCCTGAAGCTGGACAGTCATAGAGCATGGGAATCAGGAGCGGAGGGGGTTGAAATGTCTTTGCTAACCTTGGGACAAGCTTCCACCATCACCGCTGCAGCTTGACCCATACGTGCATTATAATTGCATATGTATCAAGCTCAAAGGCTGAATGATGTGCGGAACACCAATAACTTCTTTTTGTGGTACTTAAAGGGGCAGTTCATCCAAAAATTAAAGTTCTGACATCATTTATATCGTTTACCCTCATGTCATTCCCAGGGGCATTTCTAGTGTTTCATCAGTACTGTGGCACAGCCAGGCCCCATATTTTTTGCCCATATTCTCAAATGGGCAGAAAATAAAATTTGCCCATATTTTCAAAGTCTTATTAAATGCTGTTTTGGATACAAATGGATATAAATTGTCTATACCTGCAGTACAGAATTGTTCACAAGCTGCACGCGCAATAAAGAGCTGCTTCGTCATTGACAAACAATACATTTGCAAGTTTTACTTTCTACAATGGAAAACAAAAAAAATATATATCAGCGGCAAACAATTCAGTGTTTGAGTAAATGAATGAATCCAAATGAATCCAAATGAAGTTCTAATTCTAAATTAGAATTTACTAATTATAATATTATCAGAAAAATTACACTAACTATTATTATAATAGTGTACTAACTACACTATTATAATATTATCAGAAAAATTATTCTCAGGTCAGTATATCTTCATTGACATATAAAGATTTATTAATATTTTACTGGGGCACAGCAGTACTCAAAAAGTGTGTAGTGATGCCCCTAGTCGCTCCAAACTTTCATGACATTTTATCTTCTGCAAAACACAAGTTTTCAAGAACGCTGGAGCTCAGACAACCATTGACTTTCGTTGTATGGAAAAAAAAACACATTTTTCAAAATATCTTCTTTGTGTATATGAAATACATGACTTGAAAGGAACACCTTGCTCTGCGATCTTCAGCTTGGTGCCGTTTATCTCCATGAGAATGCTGACATCTTTTATAAGAGGAGTAATGGATTAAATTTGAAACCTCAGTAAAACACAAGGCTAATTTTAAACGACCTGATAATACTAATGGATCAAATCTAACCAAATCCAGTCAACTGATAACCTGTGTGCTATGAAATTGCCGGATTAATGTCTACACCACTAACTTAAGTTCAAAAAGACATTTCAAATCAAAAGATGGGGGATTACAGAGCCATTGTAAAGTGTAAAGACTCACATACTATTTTTAATAGCTTGTCTGATCCCCTCTTAAAATCCCACTGTACTTTCTCTTTAATGACTTACAGGAATAATATCACAAATTTTGCCAATGGATCTTATGGCATATTAATGAAGTTTCAAAAGTAAGCTTAAAAATTTGTCTCGCTAAACGAGGTCAGGCTTTTTATCAAACTTTCTTTAACGCCTATAATTAATTGAACGAATTTGCAACTTCATTTACCCTCAATGTGTTTAACTGTAAGGGATGTAATTGTGATTGATTTAGCCATTTTCACGATCAGTGTCTTGCTTCAAGTGCGTTTTGGCACTAATTCTTCAAATAAATTAAACTCCATTTTCTTACGTACACACAAAAAGTAGCTACACAATATGTACATCGCTCAAAACAGCTGTCACAGGAAATGGTTACAGATACTATATTAGGTCACGGTGACCTGTGTCCACATTTTGATTTCCTACAGGCCTGAGGCGAGAGCAACGGGCTGAGACAGCGCTATGTGAGACGGTATGTCTATCTGCACCCATAGCATGTAGAGGCCAGACACTTTACACTGCTGCAGACTCACAGATCTCTTTCAGAAGGGCATGATGTGTCTAGATGACAGTGGATAGTCTCTGAGACCATTTTATGCTTTTGCATGCATTTTATGATCAGTGCGTCACCACATTCGGAAATGTGAGAGATTTGCAGATGTACTGTATGTCCAAAACCGTCAAAATGTCCATTGTCCGAAAAATTGAAAGTGGAACAATCTTGCATAAATTCTAATACTGAAATGATTAAGCTTCAACTATGTAGCTTCACTTAACAAACAGAATAGCAAAAATGACTGTTTTCAAACAGGTTTTCCCAAAAGGCTCTATTGGGACATTGAGAACCAGCCCACTGTAGGATTAAAACAAGACTGAGACTTTTTATTTGGCAGACAGGCTCTGTGGAGCAGAGGCAAAGTGAGTGATGGTGGAGCTGATACCGGGGTTCTCATCTCATCTCCTCTTATCTGTCTATCTGCCCTGCAAAATCAGACCAGCGAGAGCAGGGAAGTTGCTGCCAGATTTCCCACCAAACGCTTTGATGAGCAATCAGAAGCTTGAGGAGCAAGTTAACAAAAACCCAAATAGCCTCGCTCCAAAGACACAAGTTTTTAAACTGGGTCATGTTTAAATTTCCATTAGTTATGGGTATCAAAAGCCTCCTTGTGCTTGAGCTGTGCATCCAACCACACTCTTTTTTTTGGTGTAAATTGTTCTGTCACTTAGTAAAAGGCAAATAAAACATGCACAGAGTACATCACATGCCCTCACTTTTGAAAAAACATGAACAAAACTACCCAAGATCAAAAGTATATGACCTAGACGGCATTAAATGAGGTTCACTTGGAATGAGGATAAATATTTGTTTTGTGCAATAAATTTGGCTTAATAAAAAGCACTTAATTAATACAAGGAATAGGCAACATGTTAATAATAAATATCAATGCCTGACTTTAAGTACATTTTTGTATAGTGTTACATTATAAAAAATTTTGGCAAGGCAATTTTATTCACATAACAAATTTCGGTAATGCTTTAGTTAATTACACTAGTTTACATGAACTAACAATTAAAAATACTTGTACTTGTAAAAAACTACTGTAGTTAATATTCATTTAAACATTTACGAATACATTATTAAAATCAAAAGTTATATCTGCAGACATAAACATGGTTATATTATTTAATGGACCTGAGCTAACATGAACTAGTGAACAGTTGTATTTTTATTAACTTACATTAACAAAGATGAATAAATACTGCAACAAATGTATTGCTCATAGTTATTGTTAGTTAACACATTAACATGGGACCTTATTGTAAAAAAGTGTTACCCAAATTTCATACACGGTGCATGGAAATTATAAATAAATAAATGAACGTACTAATTAATAAAATACTACTAATAATAATGATAATAATGTGAAGGGTGCATCTTCTAGAAAAGTCACTACT